GATAGATCTGATATATAGATACAATGTTATTTTGTTATGTTATTTTATTAGGTCAACAATGGATAAAAATGCTGCCGGAACACCACAACGGTTTGTACCTAGTAAAAGTACACGGTATAGGTTAAGAAAGCAAGCTAAGTTATTACTTTCTTCTTCTCCAAATAACACAGCTATGTCAAATCTATCAAGTAAAAATTATGATACAAATATTGATCCTGTATCAAATATAGAACAAAATAATTCTCTTCATCAAAATATTTGTGAAAATAATTTAATTTTAGATAATCTTAGTGAATCCTCTAAAAGTTTATGTAGCACTTTGTTTAGCTCTGAGATAGATGAAGTTTCTGAACCTGATTGTGATGAAGAGTTATTTGACTTAAACTTAATTATAGCCACCTGGGCTATAAAGCACCAGATTCCTCATATTGAACTCAATGATTTACTAAAAAACTTAAGAAAAAGTTCACAATTCAGTAATCTACCAAAAGATGCACGTACTCTCTTAAAAACTCCTACAACTACAACCGTAAAAAATATTGACGGTGGTGTTTATCATCATTTTTCAATCAAAGAAGAAGTAAAATTACTAATGAAATATTGTGATTTACCACCAAAACTAAATTTAATAGTTGGGATTGATGGACTCCCTATTACCAAAAATCCACCTAGAAGCCTTTGGCCTATTTTAGGGCATTTTTCAAATTTAGATATTCTTAAACCAAACGTTTTTATAATTGGGGCATTTTATGGGAAAAGTAAACCAACTGATGCAAATGAATACTTGTCGGATTTTGTTTTTGAATTAAAAGACATTTTATCTAATGGTATTATAATTGATGATAAACATTTTTCTCTAGACGTTCATGCTATACTATGTGATGCCCCAGCAAAATCTTATATTCTCAAAGTACAGGGTCATACTGGTAAACATTCATGTGTTAGTTGTACAACAGTTGGAATTAGAGATGAAGGACGTATTTGTTTTCCTGACTTAGATGCTCCTATAAGATGCCATGAAAGTTATTTAGACTGTAATGATAACCAATTTCATTTAGGAAAATCTATTTTGTCAGAAATTCCCAAATTAAATTTAGTAACATCCATACCGTATGATTATATGCATTTAGTGTGTATTGGTGTTACTAAAAAGTTGATTACATTTTGGATAAATAGTAAACATAAACATGCCTTACCTAAATCGCATGTTAATGAATTAGACAAAATAATGAATTCTTTAAAATATTTCATTCCACAAGAATTCCAAAGAAGACCTTCTGAAAGTTCAAGATTACATCCATTTCACGATATCAATCGATGGAAAGCTACAGAGTTGAGACAATGCTTACTATACACTGGATTTGTTATTTTCTTAGGACATGTTAAAGAGGAAATTTATAATAACTTTGTCGTTTTATCAGTAGCTATTCGTATAATTTTAACTGAACATGTTACTTCGGAGTATTATGACTATGCGAAATCGTTACTTAGACATTTTGTTGAATCATTTCAATCAATTTATGGAAAGGCATACATATCCCATAATATTCATGCTTTAATTCACATTGCAGATGATGCTAAAAAATATGGCTCTTTAAATAATTTTTCTTGTTTTCCATTTAAAAGTTTTAAGCAACCTATAAAAAAACAAATTAGAAGTGGAATGAAGCCACTTCAACAATTAGTGCATAGGTATGCTGAAGAAAAATCTATTCAAATTAGTAATTTTAATAAAAATTCAACTTTTAGTACACATAATGGACCCCTAAAATATCATTCAACAAACCAACACAGACCTATGATTTCTGGAGTACAAAACCCTCAATTTACTGGTTGGCGTCTATCAAATATGATTTTAAAATTAAATAGTGCAGATAATTGTGTACAATTAATTAAGGGTAGTATTGTTGCAATAGAAAATATTGCTATGTCCTCCGTGAATAATGATATTATGATTGTAGGCCGCGAATATGAAAATGTTGGTTCGTTTTTTAACTTTCCTTGCAATTCATCAATTTTAAATATTTTTAAAGCCAATAATTTAGGACCACTCAGATGTTGGAAATTAACAGATATATCTAAAAAAATGGTTAGGTTGCCCATTAAACAATCAGATGACGACAAATCCATGCTTATTCTACCTTTTGTACATTTACAGAAATAATATTTTAAAAAGTAATAATTTATTAATTTTTTTTTTTTTATATGTATTGTCTCTGTCTCACAAATGCTTTTTAAGTGTTGGTCTATAACAGAGGTAATAAATGCAAGTATACAATAGCCAATAAAATTACCTATAATATCCTTTTACCAGTATTTATATTTTGTATCCTGCTTTTATTCTTCTTTAGTTAGGTATTTACTTTTTAATATAATGTACATCAGGGTAATTAATAATATAATAAGTGTAAATATGTAATTGTTATACCTACGCCTCTATCCTTAGAAAAATAATTAAGATAATTAATACTTGTTTATATTAATATAAAGTGCCTGGAATGTTGTATCATTTACCCAAAGCAACTTAATACAACATGTGCCTTCAATATGGTGTCAAACACAAGATAATATGGTTACTAAATGTTGGTTTCCATACACTAAATTGGAGTTTCCTAAATCCAAGGTTCACTTCAGCAACAAACATATTATGAAAATGATCACAGAGTCGTACGAGCCTAACGATGTTGATGGGTCTTGGTTTGATGTCAAGAAATTAGCTGGACCATTAGGTATAATATGTAGACAATAAGTACCAATAACATAACTAAGTAAAAATATAATATAAACTATAGTAAAATTATATTTAGATAAAGAAATATTAGCAAGAAATGTATCAAAAACTTTGTCATCTCAATCCGAATCAGACAATACTGACCAGTCAGCTAAAGATGATGAAAGTGATGATAGTTATACTAAAACAAAAGTGGCTGGCAGGAGAAGAAAACCAAAAAAACAATTTTCCCCCGAACAGAGTCAAAAACGCTGTAAAGTGATTGAGTCATCAAGCATACCACCAATACCTGTTCCTCCTAAAATACCAATCAATTCATCTGGTAAGTATTTTAGATATTAATTCTTTCTATTACTAATAAAATGCCTTAATTAAGTAAATAATATATATTATTCTAGTTTTTATTGAGTCATCTAGCAACAATGATGAAAATGTGAGTTATTCATACTTAAGTATAGTTAAGTTTAAGTACTAGTTTAAGTATTAAATATTACTGTATAATATACTATAATATAATATAATATATATAATAATTTTTTTTTTTTTTTACTTACATTGACCAATCAATGCATACATTGCCATACCAACAAATTTTAGGAACTTCTTTAAAAAAATTTTTTTTTTAATTAAATAAAAAAAAATCAATGATAATTATTTTGTATCTATTTCTTTATTAATAATTTCAGGATAATGGACATAATAATAACAGTTTTAATGATAATGATTTATTATCAGAAATAACTTCAGACATAAATTCTTTTTTGACAAGTGTTTCGGCTAATGATTTTGTAATAGAAGATGATAATAACATGTCTGTTGAGATTCAAACACAAGGTATACATTGTTATAATTGTTTTTAATTTAAATACCTATTCAAAGTTAAAATTCTATGTAGAAATGGCAATAATTCAACCTAACTGCAGTTATGTATCATCTCCGGTCACTCCAGAGATTGAAAATGAAGGTAAAATTATTGATATTTGATTTCTATATACTATTTAATACTTAATATATATAGAAGAAGATATGGAAACCAAAACCAAAATAAATTGTGGTTTTGATTTTGGTTTTTAAAAAATGTTTTTTATTATTTATAATTTATGTATATATTAATATTTTGTTTGTTTATAGAAAACAATATAGGTTCACCCTCTCCATCACATGAAAGCTATAATAACCATAATATAGAATCACAAACACAAAATATAAGTAAATAATAATACTATTATTATTATTAAAATATTAAATATTCTGAATACATTTTATTTATTACATTAAATTTCAGTGAATGATTCCAGAAACTTAACTAATGATATCGCTGAACTAAAAAAAATTATTGAAGAACAAACAAAAGAATTTAAAAAAAGAGACGAAAATGTAATGCTACAATTGTTGATGTTAGTCAGATCTAATAGCAAAATTTGTGAAGCTGTCCAAAATATTGACAAAAAAGTAGGATACATGATGAAAGCTGATACTAGGACACGAGCATTAGCATTGCCTTCACCTAATCTTCCTACACCATTTCTCAACCTTTTACCAACTCAATCAATTGAGAATGTAACTGTTGTTGAAAATATGCTTTCAAATATAGATGATGGATTCGCAAATAAAGAAAAATTGGTACGATTAAATAAAATAAATTAATGAATATAATTAATAATATTATTAAAGAATCAAATTATTAATTTTGTTTCAGAAGTCTCATATACTTATGAAAGTAGGCAGTTCAATGTCATTCAGTGCATCAATAAGGAATGCAATTGCTTGTTGCTTTGACAAAGATGTATTAAAACTATATAGTTATAAAGGCAAGACAAAATAAAGTTTATTAGTCTGAATCTATTTGATGTAATTTATGGTGAGTGAATATATAAGTGATATTTTACACTTTTTATTTAATTTTTACTACATTTATATATTTAGAAAATCCACCTGATCATATCTATTTATAATGTTATACCTATATAATATTATATAGGGTGATTAGACAGATTGATAATATATATAATCTGTTTTTTGGAATTTTTAAATATACTTAAAGAAAATATTTTGTATTACTTGAGTGTCCTAGCATCATATAGATGATAGAACTTATACCTATTTTCAAATTAGAACTTCTATTTTACATTGTAAATTTAAAATTACGTATAATGGATCATTTTTTTAAAGATATTAACAAACCATAATCAAAATTCAAACAAGTAATAGTATCTGAGTCATTTAGTTTTTCCTACTTAGGATAATTTTCACATCATAAAGAGTTTGAAAGATATTATAATATGGAGACTATAACAAGTTGAGAATTGTAGTCATTCTATCAGCATTTAAAATTTTTAAAAATAGTCCAAATATATATCTAGATATACAAGTGCATATATATATTATCTATTTTTTAAAAACATTTTCAAGGACTTATTTTTAGTGCCTATAGCAAAAATTTAAATATAATTAAAAACTACTTATTGAAATTTTGAAATAGGTACCTTTACATTAGAAAAATGTTCCATTAAATAATTTATACCGAAATGGTGCGTTCCTTATAAGTATAATATAGTATAAAAAATCTCAAGATTTTAAAAAATGGTTTTCAATTTCAAGTAACTAAGAATGTATTTAAAAATTCCAAAAAAAAAAGGAATTTGAATAAATTCCTTTCAGTAAAATTGAGGGTTAACATGCTTGGTAAATCATTATATATTTAAATAATAATATAATTATATTTAGAAGCATTATCTGGTTTTCGACTTACACCTGAGGATGAAAGACATTTTCACCAAGTTGCGGATAACTATATTCGACATGCGGCAATAGAAAAAAAGGAAGAAATCCCCAATCCAAAACAATGAATTGAACAAATTTTTGAGTATTTATTTCCCTAAATATAATATACATTTTAAAATTAAAATATAACGAGTCGTTAAAATACTTTTTTTATTTTTACATAATTAAATGATTTATGTTTATAATTTATTAGGTATATACTAATATAATATCACTTTCTTGAACAATTTTGTAATTATTCTTTTATAACATTATCATCATCATTTTATACCTATAGTATAATATTATATACAATATATTTTTATAATAATATATCATTATAATATAGTATTAAGTATTTTATTAAATACATAAGTAAATTTTTTATATATTTATATAAGTGTATATATATATTATTATATACCTATGTTCTCTTACATGATTTTGTATTCCTTTAGGTTTTAATAATTTATACCTATATCTTTAAATATTGTTATACTAAAGGTACTATTTTATTGTTTTATTATAATTAAAAATACTTTTATACTTACATATTTTTTTTTATGATTAATTTATTTTATAATATTACTACGGCTTTATAGTATGTTATACAATTTTTTTTTCAAATTTTTTGTATGGAATTTATATTGTAGGTATACTATATTTCGTTTTTAATAAAATAACAGTTATTATAAATTGATTATATATAGATCTTTATTTTTTTACTAATAAATGAATAACTGGCATATATAATCTATAACTATATATAAGTTGAATGAGCACTATTTATAAGTACTGCAGTATTTTAACTATCCTAAGCTCCGTTAATTCACAGTATATATACACAAAGTATGAACTCACACATGCATCGTTTTTGCACTGAACCTTTCATCCGTCTATGAACCGACCGGATCACTGTTTACGAACAATAAATATATTCTGAATATACACCGTGTATAATTAACACCATAACATGGTCATTGCACTGACACATACTACCTAAAAGCACGGTGCTTTTCCCAAAATGACTAATGTAAATTCCGTATTCAAATTCTCGAAAACACAGTGCATTGAACCAATTTTTCACAGTGCCTTGAACAATAAGTTCTATACATGATTTGACACAATTACTGAACCTAAATTGCTATTCGGGAATATAAGCAAAAATATATTAATTAGTCTTTGAAATATTTTATTTTCGTGCCATTACATAATATTATTATTATTGAACTATTGAAGTAGTTCTATTTCTGTATACCAGTATACCTGTATTGTTTTGGGCAGTATTATATTTTAATCTAGTATGTCTGTAATCTGAGAATATTTCAAGATTAAGTTACTTACTAGTTATTACCACTATAATTATTATATTATACGCTATATTATATTATTATAAATTGTAATGTATATTATCACAAAAGTAAGTAAAAATGGTGCTTTATTGTTTAGTTATTAATAATAGTTTATTTCAAAATTAACATTTTATAAACTTAGTCAATATATTTTTTAGTTTCATAACAAATAACAAAGTGTAACAAATAATTTATTTTACAATAGTGATAGTTGCTTAAAAATTAAACTCAATACAATAATATTTTGAAACAAAGTATTTCCTTACAGTAATTTTTTCACTGGTGTTTAAAGTGGATTAGTTTAGTAAATAACCTTCTTACTCTTTGGTCTATTTCATTTGAAGTTGTGTTAATATGATGGATTCTTATGGTTATAAATGTTTTAAGTATTAACCTAATCATATGTATCAAATGGTTATTGAGCAGTTCTTGATCCATAAAGTGGTTTGTTAAATTTAAAAAATATTTATCTATACATAACATTGATATTGATTTTAATACCAAATAGTCAATACTTATGTGGTTAGATTTTTTGGAATATTCTCTGACTGTACGTTCTGCAACCTGACATATACTAACTACATCAGCATTGGCCATTGTAAGACCACCTCTATTTTTTTTATTCAGTAATAGTGAATTTGTTTCATGTGATTTTATTTCTTTAGCACAAACTTCACACTGAATACGCTTCAAAATGGATCTCACCACAAATCCAGCGATATACCCCACCACATCTTTAATATAATTGGAATTTTGGTATACTGTTAATAGTTCATCTTCATCTTCTACAATATGTTGACTCCCAGCTGCACATAATAAATCAAGTACCATATCTTGATCTTTGGTTGGTGACTTTTTTTTTAAACTTGATATTTTTAGTATACTTGTACCATCTTGTGCAAGACAATTAGCACTTGTGCTTGATTTGATTTCAGCATGTACTAGAAGTGCTTTATATGCAGCTTCAAACTGAGTTACCGTCGGATTATTATTGAAGCCTCCTTTAGCTCTTATAGCAGAAAAAAAAATCTCCACATGGTCTTGGCTGAACTTGTAGCTTAAAATAAATTTAAGATAACCACCATTAATAAGATCGTAAGTTAAATTTATTAAAGATTTAAGGCATAATATTAATCCTTCGAATCCTGTTCTTCTATTTGATTGTAATAATAATATTACAGTTACTACATTATTTGACTTATTATCAAGACATTGTAATTTTTCTATGTACACTATTCCTTCATTCATGAATTGTATAATTGATTGTTTATTGTTTTCATTAATAGGTTTGTTGTATGAGTTTTTACTTAGAAAATTCCTAGTATTCAGTACATCAAATATATTATTCATTAAACGGCAAAATTTAACTGTTGCTTCTGCTCCTTGAAACTCGGGTAGCTTCAAATCATTCATACAATATTCAATCGCATCTGCAACACTATTACTGAAGGTTTGTACAGCTAACCGGACACGCATTTTTTCTTTGGTATAATTGATATGTTGTGATCTAATTTTTGTAGCTAAATGTAATCCTGTTTTATTTTGTATATTAACAAGTGCATTAAAATATGACCATTTGATTTGCTGTCCTTCATTATCCAATAAAAATCCCCAATCTCCTAGAGTATTTCTACATAATTTAAGCATGTGACAAGGGTCTAAAATAAGGTGTACTTTTTCGTTGGTTTCAGGATGATCAAAAGAACTTTGTAAGTATGGATAATGTATATTAGCACCCAATACCTTTGCCATGGCTATGTTACTGGAAGCTCCATCAAATGTTAGTGACTTGATTAAAATACCTGTTGGATGTAATTGTGATAAACATGTTCTTATTATATTAGCTTTTTCTTCTGCAGATAAACCATTAATAAGATAATAGCCAACTGCTATTTTCCAATGTGCATTATATGCCACAACCATAATTACTAATGCATCCTTGGCATATGGCAAATTATCAATTTCATTTAAGCTACCCGGACCGTAATCAATGAAACCCTGGTAACGTGATCCAGTCCAGTGAATATTTTCTTTTATACATATTTCATCTAACATTAGTCCTCCAATTAATTGTTTTCCACTTTCTTGAAATTCTTGAACTTTAATTTGTATAGCTCTTAATGATTCTGATGTCAATCCTGGACGGACATCTACTGTTGCATACCACTTTCTAATTGTACTTGGATGTGGTAAAGATTTGTTGAATATATTACGAACATAATCATAAGCATTCGGGGAATAAAAATGTAATGTTAGAGCAAATTTCCGTAATTCTGGACTGATGGTTTTAGATGACAGACTTAGTTGACGCATGAGGAGATGCTTTTCTTCTTCTGTTGTTGCACACTATAGTAAGTAAATACATTGATATTAATTCATAGCTTAATCATAAAATATTATAAGGAGACAGTGACGTGGCGAACTAAAAATTTTCCAGAGGCAAATTACAAATATCCCAAGTATTAATGCATAATAATGTATTAATATAATATAACCAATTATATTTCAAAAAGTTATTGACTACTTATTGAGAATATCATATTATAATATATAATGTATATAACCTAACCTAACCGTTCTCCACGCCATGCCACTGTAAGGAGATAGTATCATGAAGGTTGTATAAATAAATAAATGTGAATCTCATAGGTTTTTTTTATATTTTAATTTTTTATTGTAAGCACACCAACAGAATAGTTAAATAAGGTAAAACTTAGTTTTTGTTGTCTTGAAACATACCAAATTTAGCTTAAATAAATTTGCTATGTTGTATATTTTTGAGATGAAGATAGGTAGATGAAGGTTGAAGGTTGAAGGTTTTAGTTTTAAGTTACCGTCAAAATATTGGAACAATTGGCTGTAATTTTGCTATCGACTTGTAAACTATCAATTAATGTATTTAATGTCCTTATTTTAGCTTGCAATCTATGATTTTTTTGTCTAAACAATCTTTCGGTATTGGCTTTTTTTCTAAGGTTTTTTTATAAACAGTCCAAAACATTTTCCTCTTTCTAGGGGTTTCCAAATCTTCCTCTTCATAATCTCCCAAGTAACGAAATAGTTTTCTTCTCCTAAAAATTTTCATTTTTTAGTACATAAAAAATTTGTATAAAAACAATTGAAAAAAAAATATAATACTTTTGTGGAGGTGTTTTTGTTGAGGTTGATGAATTCATACTAATATTATTTTCTTCGTGTTGCTGTTGTACAACTGAGTTTTCAAGATCCACTTTAGAATTATTTGATATTTCTGACAATAATATACCATCTTCTACAAAATCATTGACTCCAGTGTTCACTATAACTAAAAAATTGTTGCATATTATTTACTCGATTATTTACAATAATTGAAAATACATAATATTGGATTCAATATTAATTTTACCATCGCTATCATTTGAATCAAATATAGTTCCGTCACTGTCGTTGTCTTTTGAATGATGAAGTACCTCGAAATCTAATTTAAAATATTTATATTGTGTCTTAGTAAAATATAATTAACTAACATTGCAGGTTCCTAATTTCAGTAATTTGTTCTCACCTTCAAGTAAAGATCTACGAATGATTGTTGATTTTGGGATAGCATTCATTTTCAGCTTCTTGTTCCCCAAAGCATTAGTTTGATAATCACCTATATCAAAATGTTTGCTACATACAACAGAATGCTGGGATGGCACAAACCAACTTTCATTATTAATGGCTAATAACCATTTGCTTTTCAACTCTTCATTTGTAGGAAACCTATATGGATTAAAAGGTAATTTATTTATGAACTTAGATATAATAAGTGTATCATTTTTAATTATAATGTAAACCTTACTTATATTACAGGTAGTACTTACTTGTGGAACTTTATGTCAGAATTCTTGGAATGTTTGGTTTTACAGCTTCTCACAGAGCACATAAGAACTATTTTAATTTTAAAATTTAAACTTTATAACTCAAAACATAAGTTTTAACCATAAAAACAAAATGCTATAACGCGGGGAATGATTTTAAAATGTTATCATTCGTTGGTTGTCGTTATCATTAAAAAAATATATAAATATTCAAGGACGATAAAATATTTTGGTTGGAATGTCTTTAGAAATTCCAACATAAGTCTGTCTCTCTCGCACATATCTTTGACTCAACCAAATACACTACTGGGATATGATATGCGCGGTCCATTCTTTTATAGGTCTATGGGAATAACTCCCCTGGTAGACGGAGTGTGGCACCATAAACCAGTTCAGCGGGAGAGGCGTTGATTCCCTGCTTGACGGTGTTACGTAGTGCCAGCAGTACTATGGGCAAACGCTCAGACCACCGCGGCGACTCCTGCGCCGTTAGCGCTGCTTTCAATGTTCGGTGGAAACGTTCCACCATCCCGTTCGCCTGGGGGTGGTAAGGTGATGTGCGGATGTGGTTGATGCCGAAGGTGCTGACGAGCGACCTAAGGAGGTCTGACTCGAATTGTCGGCCTTGGTCAGTGGTGACTGTGTCGGGAACTCCAAAACGAGCGACCCACTGTGTGACGAGCGTGGTTGCGACCGTATGCGCGGACATGTCAACAAGGGGCCATGCCTCTGGCCAACGCGTGAAACGGTCGACGCATGTAAGCATGTATTTTGCGTTGTTTGATGTCGGTAGCGGCCCGACCAGGTCGATGTGGATGTGTCCAAAACGACGATCTGGGGTGGCAAAAGGCGTGAGTGGCGAGACGGTGTGTTTGTGTACCTTTGATTTCTGACATTTCTCGCATGATCTGGTCCATAGCCGTATATCGCAATCCATGCCTGGCCAGCAGAAACGGTTCTTAATGAGTCGGGCCGTCGCCGCGGTGCCACCGTGGGCCTGACCATGTAGTGCCGAAAACGTGTTCCGCCTGTGTATCGTTGGTACAAAAAGTCTCGACCGGTCGTTGGTCTTGTCAAAATACACGGGACCGCTCGGAGTTTTTCGTGCGTCTAATACCAGTGATGTAGGTGTGTTGCCTGACAATATTCCTTGTAACTCGGTGTCATTTGCCTGGTCTATTGCCCACTGGTTGAGGTCTGGCGAGTCCTGGTGAAGTTCCGCCAATTCGAGGCGCGACAGTGCGTCCGGGACCACGTTACTTTCGCCGCTGACGTGCTCGACATCGTGTAGGAATTGCGACAGGAAAGCAATGTGCCGTGCCTGGCGGTCGAGCAGTTTTTCAGCTTTTTGCGTGAACATGAACACGAGCGGGCGGTGATTGGTGCGGAGCGTAGTGTGCCTTCCTTCGATGGAGTGCATGAAATGTTGCGTAGCGAGGTAGGCGGCCAAGAGTTCTCGGTCGTATGTGCTGTACCTTGCTAGTGTAGCGGAAAGCTTACGCGAGAAAAAACCAAGCGGTTGCCACGTTCCCCCGTGTTCCTGTTCCAGGGCCGCTCCGACAGCGACGTTTGACGCGTCCGTGCATAACCGTAGTCGTGCGTTGGGCGACGGATGCGCTAAGCGTAGTGTGTCAGCTAGTGCTTCACGACACGAACAGAACGCTGTACGTGATGTTTCAGTCCAGGAAAGGGGACCGTCGCGTTTTTTAACTTGTGCCGATAGCGCGTACAGCGGGGTTTGTAGAGCGGCGGCCTTCGTGATGAAACGGTGATAAAAATTGAGTGATCCCAGGAAACGCTGCAGCTCTTTCTTGGTTTTAGGTTGCGGCCACTGACGAATGGCTGTGACATTTTCCGGGTTGGAACGCGAACCCTGAGCATCGACGACATGCCCCAGGAAGATAAGCGACGGAACTGCGAACACGCACTTGGCCGGGTTAATGGCGATACCGTACTTTTCGAAACGCTCGAGGACAGAGCGAACATGGCCATTGTGTTCGGTTCGGCTTGCCGACGCAACGAGTACATCGTCGACATAGGCGAAGACAAAATCGAGACCGTTGAGTACCGAGTTCACGAGCCGCTGAAACGTCTGCGCGGCGTTGCGTAGGCCGAAGCACATAACAGGAAATTCGAAAAGCCCAAACGGCGTCGTGACCGCCGTTTTGTGGATGTCAGCTGTCGCGATAGGCACCTGATGGTACGCGCGGATGAGGTCAAGCTTGGTGAAAATGGTTCACCCCGCGAGGTTGGCCGTGAAGTCTTGCAAATACGGCAGCGGGTAGCGATCCGGGGTGGTAACGTTGTTGAGGCGACGGTAATCTCCGCAAGGTCGAAATGTACCGTCTTTTTTGGATACCAGTAGCAGTGGGCTTGCCCAGGAGCTTGACGACGGGCGACAAATGCCTTGCTCCTGCATGTGATCGAACTCACGGCGGGCTGCGACGAGCCTGTCTGGTGGTAGTCGACGCGGGCGGGCAAATAACGGCGGGCCGGTGGTCGGTAAAACGTGTTCGACGTCGTGGAGAAATTTCTCAGGGACTGGAAACTCGCGGGTGACGTTCGGAAAGTCTTGCAGTATCTCGACCCAGTCAGGTGTGCGTGCAGCCGAGAGAAACAGGGCGTTTGTAGTCGGGGTGCGCGTAGTTTTTGTTGATTGCTGGTTGACCGGATTGACCAGGCGGTTGCGCCTGATGTCAACGAGGAGGCCGAAGTAATGGAGGAAATCTGCTCCAATAATGGCGTTAGTGACTTTGGCCATCTCGAAAGTCCAGGTAAACGGCCGCGCGAGCCCGAAATCTAGGACGAGAGTCTTCGGTCCGAATGTTTCTATGAGAGTGCCGTTGGCGGCGGTGAGTGTGATGTTTGATTGTTGTTGGCGGCTGCGGTCGTAAGGAATGACCGATATCTCGGCGCCGGTGTCGACGAGAAACAACCTGCCTGTGCGCTGATCGCTGATGTGGGCCCGCATTGAGGAGACCACAGCACGAAGGGCGGGTGCCTTGGCTGCGGTAGCTAGTTTTCCGCTTGCGACCGTGAGTCGCGCGGTTTGTCGTCTGTGGCCTCGTAGATGCAGGGTGACCGACACTTTTTTGCGTTCTTTCCGAACTTGGAGTGATAGAAACACATCTCCGAGTTCTGTGACGCGGCGTGACGCGAGGGCGGGTACCGGCGCGAGGTGCTGCTGTCCGCGCAAGTGTTGCTTTCATCCGGGAGGTGTTGCATGCGAGCGACGACGGTTTGCATTTGCTGCGTTAGTGAGCGTACTGCGTTCGCGAGTTCCGAGAGGCGGTCGTCGGGGACGGAAACGGCGTCCACTCGCTGTGCGCTGCAGACCTCCGTGACCCGATCAGCACGGGCGGCGAGGGCGTCCGTAGGTTCGTCAATTCTCGATATTATTGCCAGCACGTTGGTGGGCAGTTTCTGTAGCCAAAACTCTTTGAGCGCGACTTCTCAGAGATCTTTCGGGGCGGCGTTGCGCATGTCCCTGAGCAGTTGAGAGGGTCGGCGGTCGCCGATGCCTCCAGGGAGAACAATCTCGCGGAAACACGTGGATCGAGGGACGCCAAAAACGTCGATAAGGCGGCAGCGGATTCCGTCGTACGTAGCTGAGGACCCGAGCAGGTCGGCGACGGCGCGAATGCCCTCTTCATCGAGCGCGGTTAGCACGTGATTGACACGTGTGTTGTTTGCCGAAATGCGATGACATGCGAAGGTTGCCTCTGCGTGGATGAACCA